AGGCGGACTGTCTTCTAACTAAGTTTTAGAGCGTGTTGTTAGTGCGAGCTAGTAACACAGAGTTAGTGCTGCAATAGGTACAAAAGGCCTTCAGTGCAGCGAGAAGGTAGACCGTCGCAAGACAGTACACCTAGGGCAGAGCTTCGCAGGAAGTTCAGCCGTGAGAGACAGTAGGCGATTTAGTCGCCCAGGACCTGTCTAGGAAGTCCTACCGTGTCTTGGAAAGCCGAGCCGTAGGCGCAACGTCGCGTGATAAACTACCTGAAGGCCACTCGGGCCTAGCGTACAGTTAGCTAGAAGCGGACGTTGTAGTGAGAAGTCCTGTCGATCCTCTATCAGACGGGGTGCAGGCCGTGCGATTACTCTCAATTGGAGACGAGATCCCACGAGCGAGACGGCAAGACGCGAGTCTTCCTAGGGACGCGACACGACAGCAGCCAAACGCTGTTTAGAACTGGCTAGAAGAGAAGTACGGCCGAAGGTAAGCCCTACTAGTCCTCACCAACGAGGAGTAGGCCGCAGTCAAGGACTGCGCGAGCGGATCGAAGAGCGACCGGAAGCCCTGCATATTAGCAGGCAAAGAACGAGACGTCCAAAACGAATTAGGCAATGGAGATTAACGTTCCAAACTTGAATGTGGAAGAGCTGGCGGCGTACGCTGCTGCCAAGAACCAGGCAGGAGTATCAGATGAAGAGATCCTGCGCGAAATTACACAAATGCTTAGAGAGGACGGATGGAAGGAGGCAGCAATTAGGCCAACGATTGAAGCGGTCGCCAAACGATCGGCCGTCGTGGGAGGAAAGGGCTCACCAAGGCAAGGAGGCTCGCCAAAGGCCAACCAGGATGCCATGGCCCAGATGATGGAGCTGATGAATCGGTTAACAGCCCAGAACCAGGTGCTAACGGAACGGCTCGTGGCACTCGAGCGTGACCAAGCTGAGGGGCGTTCAGAGTCGTCCTATAGAGCCTTCACGCCTCCCCTAGCAGCAGCCGCAATCGCTGAGCCAGCTACGCGCAGGAACAAGTTCCCGCACCTAGAACCATTTGATGGAGATCGAACGAAGTACGTAGCGTTTAAATACAAGACTCAAGCTAAGCTCCAGCACGAGTACAAAGGAACTTCGAGCCTCGCTCAGATCGAGTACGTGGTTAGTAGGTGTACGGGCAAGGCAGCGGA